TACATATATATATATATACATATATATATAAATATATATATATATATATATATATATATATATATATATATATATATATATATATATATATACATATATATATATATACATATATATATAAATATATATATATATATATATATATATATATATATATATATATATATATATATATATATATATATATATATATATATAAATATATATATATATATACTCATTTAGCTCATTGTAACATCTATATTAAAGAAATTATATTTTTATTTTCAGTGAACTAGAAAAGTTGAAGACAAGCGGGTACGGCCATTTTTCATGAGGAATCTATTCTTGCAAAACCCGACAAGGACTAACTATTTGAAAAGTTCAAGAACAGCTTTAGTAATCGTCAAAAACTATCGACTTTTAAAATATGTAAATATTTTCTGAACCTAAATATAGGTAAAATACAGGCTTCGACTTCCGGATTGATAATGATGAGTTTAATTTAATGCGTTTTTCCCTTGATCTCTCTTTACGTTGCACGTTTTACCGAGGTTAATTGGATAAGTTTTAAGCATGAATTACAGTACGTTGTAAGTTTTGCCGAGTGTAATTGTTTAAGTTTCAAGCATGAATTACAGTACGTGAACGTTTTGCCGAGTGTAATTGGTTAAGTTTTGCCGAGTTTGATTGGATAAGTTTCAAGCATGAATTACAACAAAACATCGTCACCTTTTGTTTTTTTCGGTCGGAAAAAATTGTGTATGTTTATAACTGCTGTAATTCTCTTAGTCTCAATAAACTTTATTTTTCCCATCCGGAACTACAGGCTTACCATGCACAAAGCCTGGGAGGATGTCCCGACGCTCGACTTGATCAAGATTCGGTTCTTCAGCGACCCTTCTCCTCCATACAAAATGCGTCGTGTCGTCTGCGAGAGTTGGTACACGTCAAACCTGACGGAAGAAGATATCGACCAATCGTTGTTCGCCACGTACTCGCGGGTGAGCACACAGGCAGCAAGGGACAAGGTCATGCTGAAAGGTCACGGGAGGTTTCTCCCCGTGCTGACCCCGGACCTGAAACGTCAAACGTTGTACATGTACCAGGTGGCGGCTTAGGTTCTAAACCAGGCTGGGATAACGTTTTTCCTGTTAGACGGGAACCTGCTGGGGTTGATGCGCCACGGTGGGTTTGTTCCCTGGGACGACGACATCGACATCGCTCTAAGCATCAACGACTGGAGCACCACACATAAACTCTTCTCCTGTATTCGAGGACTCAACTTCGTCCCTTCGAACAACTTTCACTGGAAACTTTTTTTCCCAGATCGGAAATTCCCGTTCTTGGATATATTTTTCTACGACAACGACTCGAGCTATCTCTGGGCGCTGACCGATTACTCACGAATCACGGTCATCTACCCCACCCCCCTCGTCTTCCCGCTGAGCACGTCCATGCTGGAGGGTGTGACCGTGCCCGTCCCCCGGGACAGCCTGGGTATCGTCAGGAGGATCTACGACTACGACACGTGCCTCGCCTACAACGGACACGTGCAAACGACCATCCAGATGGCCGAGAAATTCCCCCAAGCTTACCGCGTTAGAGAAATCCCTTGCCAGGAACTGAGTTACATGTACACTATGTATCACCTCGACACTTTATAACAACAGCTGTTTGTTTATATTATGCTGTAAAACACAATCAAAACATAAAATAATCGCATTTACATTTTCCTGAAAATAAATATTTTCTTATTGATCAAGATTAAGATGCATGTATTTTTAGCGCAATTTCCATTCTGGAGAATTGTGTTTATTAACTCGTCATTTCTGGGAATGGATGGATGAATGAATGTATGGATGAATGATTGTCAGGGCTTTAAGTCGTATCTCCTCCTCAACGAAGCAATATCGATGACTAGTTCCAAAAGCAATTATGTTAAGCAAGTTACGAGAATGAGCATAGGCCATAACAATTCCGGGTTTCTTTCACGTATTTCCCGGAAAAGCCAAAAAACCTCGAAACAAATCAGTTTTTGGTCCATATCTCGGCAACCAGACCACTTAGCGACTTGAAACATGTACCAATCGATTTCTGCCATAATTTAGAACAATATTGCCGAAGAAAGTTTTCAAAAATAACCTCTCGTTCGGTCACAAATTTTAAAATTACATAAACACCTACAAACCGATCGTTCTTCTAGCTTGAATGCACCCCAGCATTATACGTCAGAGCTATTTTTAGATAACATAAGGAAATTGCGCAGAAATGTCACTAGACTTTTTTAATTAACTTTTTAATTCGTTGATTTATTATATCAGATTTAACAAACTATGAACCCTGCATTATGTTATCCTAATAGTTTTTTGTTGTTATAAAAATCGAATAAATTTTTATGTTTAAGTTGTATTATGTCTTCCATGGTCTGATTTAAAAAATATAACTGCGGACAATTTTGGTTATCTGTATAACGATGAAAAAAAAATTTGAACCCCTCACCACACATGAGACGATCCTGGCTACGCCACAGTGTCTAGAACCCTTGACTCTAAACAACTCTTGTGGCATCAACTTCAGCACAGTGTAATCAACCAGATCAGGTGTGTAAATATTAGTTCAGTACCGTGTAATCAGACGGTAATTAGACGGCTACTGGGAGTACCGCCTTATCAGTCTGAAGATGAATAGACAGGTGTCAAAAGTAGCTAACATAATACACGCAATCTTATGCCTCTTGTGGCGTCTAAATAGAGATGTTCATACACATATTATAGTTGTATCACACACACATATGATTATTATACAGTGGCCTCATGTAAAACAACGTATAGACCAACATATAATTCCTGGCAGCGTTAGATTCAGAAACATCTAAATATAATTCTTGGTAGAGTTAGATTCAGAAACATCTAAATATAATTCTTGGTAGAGTTAGATTTAGAAACCTCTAAATATAATTCTTGGTAGAGTTAGATTCAGAAACTTCTAGATATAATTCTTGGTAGAGCTAGATTCAGAAACATCTAAATATAATTCTTGGTAGAGTTAGATTCAGAAACATCTAAATATAAATTCTAGAGTCGTTATGGTTGGTCAGTTTCACATTTATGTAAAGGCGTTATACTGAGATAAATCAAATTAGAAAAACCTCACGGCTGATTCTAAAACCTTCGAGATGTCAAGAACCTTATGGTTGATGAGACAGGTGAAGTAGAGTTTTCTAATTGTGACTGGATGAAGGGCTGTTAGGGCCATTCGAATGAACAGCTGCTCTTCCATTTTGCTACTACTAAATCGGATTAGTATGTGAACTATCCACCACTGACTCTCAATCGTATGTGAAATACTTACAACTGATTAGTATGTGGATAATAGGATAACAGAGCGGTACATAGTACTTTATAATGGAAATGTTAATTAATTCTTTAACACTTAATTAAGCAAATTGTATGTCGGATTTTATTTTCATTATGTCTTGACCCAATTGCCGAGTTTTAGAATAATTGGTCGGTAAGAAGTGGTCGAAATTTCGAATGGACCGATCAACTAATTGACCGATCAACTAATTGACCGATCAACTAATTGACCGACCAACTAATTGACCGATCAACTAATTGACCGATCAACTAATTGACCGACCAACTAATTGACCGATCAACTAATTGACCGATCAACTAATTGACCGACCAACTAATTGACCGATCCACTAACTGACCGATCCACTAATTGACGGATCCACTAATTGACGGATTCAATAATTGACGGATCAACTAATTGACCGATCAACTAATTGACCGATCAACTAATTGACCGATCAACTAATTGACCGACCAACTAATTGACCGATCCACTAACTGACCGATCCACTAATTGACGGATCCAATAATTGACGGATCAACTAATTGACCGACCAACTAATTGACCGATCCACTAATTGACGGATCCAATAATTGACGGATCAACTAATTGACCGATCAACTAATTGACCGATCCACTAATTGACGGATCCAATAATTGACGGATCAACTAATTGACCGACCAACTAATTGACCGATCCACTAATTAACCGATCCACTAACTGACCGATCCATTAATTGACCGACCAACTAATTGGCCGATCCACTAATTGACCGATCCACTAACTGACCGATCCTCTAATTGACCAATCCACTAATTGACCGATCCACTAACTGACCGATCCACTAATTGACGGATCCAATAATTGACGGATCAACTAATTGACCGATCAACTAATTGACCGACCAACTAATTGACCGATCCACTAATTGACCGACCAACTAATTGACCGATCCACTAATTGACCGACCAACTAATTGACCGATCCACTAATTGACCGATCCACTAACTGACCGATCCATTAATTGACCGACCAACTAATTGACCGATCCACTAATTGACCGATCCACTAACTGACCGATCCATTAATTGACCGAACAACTAATTGACCGATCCACTAATTGGCCGACCAACTAATTGACCGATCCACTAATTGAACGATCCACTAATTGACCGATCCACTAATTGGCCGACCAACTAATTGACCGATCCACTAATTGACCGATCGACTAATTGACGGATCAAATAATTGACCGACCAACTAATTGACCGATCCACTAATTGACCGATCCACTAATTGACGGATCCAATAATTGACCGACCAACTAATTGACCGATCCACTAATTGACCGACCAACTAATTGACCGATCCATTAATTGATTGATCCACTACTTAACTGATCCATTAATTGACCGATCCACTAATTGACTGATCCATTCATCCAACGACCATCGATCCACAAAATCACTAATCCACCGACCCAACGCATATTTACAAATATCAATTTATTCTATTCAATTAGCAACATATTTGATACTCGACAGTAATAAATGGTTTTTTAAGGGCTATACTCTACAACACTACAACAGATGGTGCGTAAATTAATACCAACTCAACACTTCACTAATGAACGGATATTAAAAGAATTCAGATACAACATTGGTTTACAATACATTCATAACGTTTCTCGTTTAATAAATCTTTCTCAGTCAAACTCAACTTTGCAAGCTATTTTTATACACAAGAATCACACCAACTTGATTAGCACGTCACTCGGATATTTTTTATGTTGAATTTAGACTTGTATTAGAGAAATATGAAGTATTCCGGACAATACAACTCTAGTTCTAGATTTCTAGATCTGGATCTTAATGCACAGAGCACGAATAAATAAATGTAAGTAGTAGTTATAGATGTATAAATAAGTGTACGTGGGTCTGACAGTATAAATAATTGCAGGGAGCTATCACAATAAAAATCAATGTGAGTAACAATAAAAATATTATTAAATAAAGTAAGTATAGATTACGTTTAAGAAACCTCTAGTTATCTAGTTAGAGTAATAATTAAGTTTTAAAATTAACACACATACACACACATACACACACATATCCATACATATATATATATATATATATATATATATATATATATATATATATATATATATATGTTAGGGTCTCACACTAAAATCTCTTCGCTGGGATCGGGTGATAAAATGATTGAATGCATAATTGGAATCATGATCTTGTTAAGACAATACCGATGTATTTTTGCAGATGTTTTTTGTGGAAAGTGTGATGCTCTGGTTCATTTATTTATGGCACCTAGTGATGGTCAGTTCAGGTTGG